AGCAGCAGCACCGCCACCACCTGCTGCGCCACCCGCTGTCGTTGTTGCTTGGCAGGCCTCAATTGGAGACGTTATTTTCATTAAGAAGGCTGAATCTCATTCTTACGCAAACACCAAACTAGCAGCCCTGAGAGTAGCTATGATTTTCTAGGTGACTTACAAGGGAAAGAGCGACGAAGCTGAGAAGGACAACCAGACGAAGCATGTCGATTTGATTCGATGATGGAGCCTGGCCATCGTCGCTGCCTTTTATTCGTTCTGTGGAACGATGTGATCGTTACCGAGTCCCATTCCACTATCATGAAGATGTTTGCAAATGATTACCTAAGAGTCTTATGCCATAAGGAATTTGAATATATGGCAAGTAGACACGCGACGACTCGTCCACGTGTTCCAGCAGCCGCAACGTCGTAGGCCACGCCCACCCGCGCGGTGCTCACGATTCTGTTGACACGGAGCCTACGATCCCCTGCGCCTTGTCACAATTACAAATGCCAAACATCAGGAATACGACCCTTTCGGAATCTCAAATACTGCTCTTCCGTCCCCTTTCCCGTTTGGCACAAAGTATCGCTGACCGTGATCATAGTGTTGAATCGCAGCAACAATAAGGCTTTGCTGCTTTGCTGGAAGATTCCGCTCAATCGTTCATTCATTTGAGAGGAAAGAAATGATGTGAAGTCATGCATGCTTTTAGGAGACACTCTGACGAAAATGGATGGTCCGCTCCACTATAAGAGAAGTTACTATTCGCTTAACAAAAACAGAAATGAGAATTCAAGGACGAGCGATTAGAAGGGTAAAAGCTCTAAGTGACAAGTTCCATCATTGGATTTGGAACCCATCAAGGCAAACTCTAACACTTCCTGTTTGAACACCTTTGTCGGAACCCGTTCACCATATCTCAGAAGTTTGTTCTGCTCATACATGCTGACTCACCTGAATAATTTACCTGGGAATCATACCACTGGGTATCAATAGGTTATAGTTAAATTGTTTGCCTTAATGCTTACTTTGTTGCTGCAAATGGGATTATAATCGCTAGCCATTGAGGAAGGTAATCATCTGTAAACATCTTCTTGATGGCGGGATGGGGCTCGGTAACGATCACATCGTTCCACAGAACGAATAAAAGGCAGCGACGATGGCCAGGCTCCATCATCGAATCAAATCGACATGCTTCGTCTGGTTGTCCTTCTCAGCTTCGTCGCTCTTTCCCTTGTAAGTCACCTAGAAAATCATAGCTACTCTCAGGGCTGCTAGTTTGGTGTTTGCGTAAGGAATGAGATTCAGCCTTCTTAATGAAAATAACGTCTCCAATTGAGGCCTGCCAAGCAACAACGACAGCGGGTGGCGCAGCAGGTGGTGGCGGTGCTGCTGGCGGTGGTGCTTCTTCTAAGAAGAAACGTGAAGTTCACGAAGCCGAAGTTGTTGTCGTCACCCACCAAAACTACGACCCGGATATGAATGGCTCGTACATGGGAGTAATCAAATCCGCGGTAAGCACTGGGCTACAATGAAGGAAGCGAAACTAAAGCAGTCATGGAATCGCTCATTGCCCCGCTACAGTTTTTCTAGAAAAATAATTCAGCGGCAAATTCAGAACAACCCTACAATTCAGATTGAGCAGCATGCACAAGAAGAAGGACTGATAACCAAAAACAACCTGATTGAAGAGAGGCCGGGGAATGTCGGTGGAAAATTCGCAGTAACCTACGCTGTCGTCGATGTGGAATGTGAACAGGTATACACCACAACGTTTTTCCGTGCTCTGGTCATGAAGGAGTGCGCCACGATTGGTTATCTCATTGGCGTTGGGGCGTTTAGTAGCACATTTTGTGTGAACGAGGCGCATACAGAAAATACCCAAGGGAAGAATCCATAGCTCAACTATTCAGATGAGCACTCGCCTACACCAAAAGTGTGTGCAAAGTGGGTAGAAGCAGTGCACTCTTTTTTTTGGTTGACCCTCATTCTTTTTCGGTTGACCTCATTCTAAAGAGGGAAGAGGAGAACCCCACCAATGGGGCTCCGCCTCTTCTACCTCATTGCTCGAAAATACCTTATTTATGGAATCTCTCCTTCCCAGGAGCCCCTTTCATCTAGTGAGGCTGAATCTGTGACTATACCTTTTCAGTTGAGAAGCTTTATCGTGGGAGGCGAACGAAAGAGATGTCACCGATCATCAATTTCGTCACTGTCAATTGCGACGGAAAAGAAACAGTCTTGTAGTTCCTCATATGAAACTTATTGAAATAAATCCTGCATCAATCACATGTGTTTTTTGGCTCCGAACCAGAAACTGTTTGGCCTTTACTTTTCACTTTACTTGCTGCTAGAAAGTTTTACGAGAGCTCGATAAGAGGGTGAGGCTTGCTATTCAATCGAGAGTGGATACTTCTTCTTGACTCGAGGATGGCTTCTACTGTGGTGGAGTATGAGCCAAAGAGCAACGTCGGAAACGGTCAAGCTGGTATCATCGCATGTCCATGACTTAATCTCGTGACCAAGGACTTCTCGAAGCAGCACGGCTGTCCTGTTAGGCTGAAATAAGCGACGATTCTTCACTGAAATAAGCTATGAAATAGCCCCCGCAACATGCTGTCGCGAACTCAGCTGCGGAAAAGAAGCGCAAACGAATTTCCAATGGAGTTTTCAAGCGAACAACATCAGAAGTAGTCGAAGTAATCTGCATATAAGTTTACGGAAAATTAGCCGATTTGGAGTTCTGACGACGACGAGAGAAGAACAACATTTCCAACATAGACAGAAGAGGAAGCTAGACAGTAGTACCTCGAGATTTCAACGCAAAATCGACTCGAAGACCAGGAGAGTTTGATTAGGCCAAATTGTACAGGAAACCGAACGCGGCTGAATAAGGCTACCGACGTTCTGCAAAATAGATCTTATGGGTCATGAAGATAGCCACTCCATCGAAAATCCACGAAGAGATGGGCATAAAGTCCAAATGAACACGGATTCCACGTCCTGGATCATGTTCTTGCAACAATACTGGGAATAGGCCATGGTTAAACACTGGAAGTGACTTGTGTTCTAGGAATGGGACTTGCACCTTGATTGAAATCACGTAAGGCTTTCACGAAATCGCTCAAAACACCTCGAGCAACCATGCGCCAATTGAGCCCTTCCAGATACACAAAAGCTTAACTTCAGAAATGACGAGCGACTGAATGAAGGCCATACTTGCCTCGCAAAGGTATTGTTTATCCTCTAGATTCCAAATGAGCATAATGGGTGCCCACACATTTTTTGCATATTATCAAGACCACTCGGAGCATTCTCGCACGTAGGCGACTCACGGGCCGTCAACATAGCCATGTTCAGTAGGCGGTACTGCATAGGTCATGACAAAAGCTGGCTGAGGACCACAAGACACAAAATGTCGTACGCCACACGCTGCAGCCAACGAACGTTGCTTGGAGGGACCATAGCAAACACCGTTTTGGTCGGGAATGGAATCACATTATCGATTACTTTCTACGCATTGAAAATTGCTGGAATAGTTTCGCACTTTCGAAGCTTCCCAAGGTTATCGTTCGACATTTTACGGGTATGAGGTATGACGGCCGCGCTCGCAAAAGCGCCCTTGTCCCTTGCGGTGCAAAAACCCAAAACGCGCGATGTCGTGGTCGTGTTAAAGAATCGCGGATTGCCCTGAACGGCTTTTCTTGTAATGTAGCGCTTTGGACTACGGAAGTGGTACCCATGTGTATCGACAGTAAGTCAAAGGGTTAGGGAATATCAGTACTATGGAAATGAATAAAGTTGCTCGTGGTAATTCATCATTCATTTCTCGGCTACGCACTTGTTTGAGCTATGCGCCACCAGGCCTGAATTTTCCTTCTAACTATTATATTTTCGTTTTGGATCATTTTTCTTATTAAGCGGTCGGTCAACATGGGGCCGTGTGCAACAAGCCGCGAAGGTCTTCGGGGATATATCTCCGAAGTCGTGTGCAACAAGCCCCGAGGCTCGTTTGGGGTAGATCCCCGAAGATCGTATGCAACAGGCCTGACGCTCGTCGGAGACATACAGTAGCGGTCAAAAGTTTGGAAAATTTTTTTATTTTGATCTAGCGCGGCCGACACATAACGAAATTGCCTCAAATTTAGATATGACATACAAAATCAAGTCCAGAATACGACGGGAGAATAATTTCCAAAAATCCATAATCATTTGAGAAATAAGATTTTTATCAAGAAATGGCGCGTCAAAAGTTTGGAAACTTTTTGTTTCCCACATCATTATGATTCCTACTCTTCAATGTTTACTTGTTTCTTAATTTTAGTTCAACCATTGAGTAATGTGTAATTTCAAAATGAATTCATATGCAAAGGAAGCAGTTTTTCCATGGGAGGTCCTTTTTTAAACCCTCAATCCGGAATGCGAAATAGAAATTGTTTCTTAGTAGTTCAGTCTCTACGAAAGCAATATTATCGAATGTTTTTAGTGTCTTTGGAGCCGGGCTAGCATAAGAAAATGGTCCTTTACAAAAAAAGTATTCCCACTAGGAAATTAACCCTCCTCAAAAACTTTGAAGGGTGATTGGCAGACGATTTTTTCTGGTTTGAAGCTAACCGTATGAAAGTCAAGCACACCCCAGCATCGGCCACGACCTGGTGAATATCACGGATAATATCCAAACAAAAAGATATTGTTGGGCTTCCAATAGAAGGATGGCCCAACCGCCTTCCGCACACTAACGGCTAACACGGACTTAAGGCGAGACGTAAAACTTTGTCTTAGTGACGAATGGAATTTCTGCCGTTCCTAAAAATGGTGTTGTGGACTCTGTGAAGTGTTCAGTCAAATGGAAACCTCATTTAGAGTATAAGATCCCAACATTCAGAAATAGTGGAAGTATTGCCATGGATGGAGATGTGTCCGACCATTCGGCGATTCCCCAGTTCTATGTATCCAGCAAAATGTGGGTTGGGCTAAGTACAAGAACAGTCTATAGAATACAATGCTTCTCTTCGATAGTCAGAACTGGCCGAAAAAGATGGGTTTTCTATCGTGGAAATGACCCAATGCAGGCCTACCTCCTCACTGCCGCCTTCCTAAACCCAGAAAAAGAAGCTGTTATGAAGCGACCAAGTCGAGATCTAAAGTCTAATTGAGTTCTACATCCCACGGAAGAACTGGCATGTCGCTCAACCCACATTCCAGTTAGGAATCCCACCAAACAATGCGATTTAGTTCACAGTGTGCAGGGTTCGACTTAAAAGTTCTAAAATTATTTTATAGTCAACTCCGTGTCAATAAAAACGACGCCTGACATAAGAAATTCATCAGCTGTACGAATAGTTTTAATTTATCACGTAGATCTGAGAGCTATTTTGCCGAATTTTGCTGTGGAATTGAGAAGTTTCCAAACTTTTGACGCGCCATTTCTTATAAAAATTCTTATTTTTCAAAAGGAATCTCGTTTTCAAAAAATATGTTGCTTTCGTAATCTACACTAGATTCTGTATATAATATGTGAATTTGGGACAATTTCATTGTCTACTGGCTACACTAGATCAAAAATAAAAAAGTTTCCAAACTTTTGACCGCTACTGTATACACGAAGCCGTATGCAACAAGCCCCGACGGATCCTCGGGGATGATATCCCCGAAGTCGTATGTAACAAGCCCAGAGGCTCGTTGGGGACATATCCCCGAAGACCTTCGGGGCTTGTTGCATACGGTCCATGGACATATTAATCGCCTTCTTTCATATTTAACACATTGACGACAACGCGGGGGATATATATCCCGCGCATTGCAGGCCGTGTCGGACCGTGCGGGGGATATATCCCCCGCACCCATTACACTAATTTTTTTCGCGCACGCCTGGTTCTTCTAGAAGTTTCTTGTAATTATTGAATGGAGGAGACCTTGACCTAGCTAAAAACATAGTGGTCCATAGAATGGTCACGTATGCTTCAATTTAGAGGAGGATTTCTGAACCATACGAAATCTTCAGCCTAATAAATTTTTCGTTTACTTTTTCTTCCTATGAATGTGAAGGTTTAAATAGTAGTAGAAGTAGATACGGTACCTTAGAGATGACAATATATGTGTTTTGATTAAAATAATCAACTCAAAATTGCCTTTGAAGTTTATTGCAGCTTGTTCTAAAGAATATCACTTTTTCATTGTTATTCCATGTCTTTCAATAGAAATTCCGCTACTGTACCTCCGAGTAGGTTGTGCTCATTACAATATATTGATCTGGCCTTGTATTGATCATTATTTATGTTTTTATCACTCAAAATTTGCTTGAACAACCTGAGGCGGCGGCGCTCGCAAAAACGCCGTGGTCCCACGTGGCCAAAAGTGCCAAAACTCGCGTTGTCGTCAACGTGTTTAAAGGCAGGCTCTCGTTAACTTGCCGAT